CTCCCCCCTCCCCAGTTCACTTTTCTCTTTGGAAAGAAAAAAAGAAAATGAAAAATCATTGCACAATTCCCCATACCGACCTCCGTCCACTTCACTATGCAGCTCTTATTCTGGACTGTTGTCATGCAAATAATACCTAGTCATATATTACTTTTCAGCAGTTCTTTCCTTCATCTGTTTCACTGCAGTTTACTTTATTTTTAAAAAAATCTCATTGCCATTGAGCTGGCATCTGGCTGATCTTTCACTGGGTTTGTTGTTGTTGTAGATGTGTGCCATCCAGTCAGAACGGACCCATAGCTGACCCTCCAGGGGGTTCTCAGAGGCTGTAATTTCAAAGGAGGAGATTGCCCATCCTTCCTCCACAGAGCTGCTGGTGGATTTGAACTGTGTGCCTTCAGCATTGCAGAGCAGACTCATGGAAAGATTGCTCACCTTTCTCTCTCAGAGAAAACTAGTGGTTTAGAACTGCAGAAGTGGCCTGGTCTTTTGGTTGCCACATAACTCCTACAGATTATGCCACCAGAACTCCTTAATTATTAACCAAGTTTTTGTTATGGACTGTTGAATCAGAACCGATCCGTAGTTGACCCTTTAGTCAATTTTCAGAGGCAGGAAATCACATGGGAGGAGATTGCTCATGTTTTCCAATTAGAGCAACTGGTAGATTCAAACCACATTCTCTTGGGTTGGCAGTACAAATCTTTACCACTAAGCCATTGCTGTTGTTGTGTACTGTTGAGTCAGAACTGACCCGTAGGTGACCCTCTGGGGTGGGTTTTCAGAGGCAGTTAATTGCATGGGAGGAGACTGCCCATCTTTCTCCTGTGGCGCAGCATGTGGATTCTTTGGGATTGCAGCACAGCTTCTGGCCACTGGGACCACCAGAGCTCTCTTTATAATGCATTCAAAGTTCCGAGGTGCTGCTCCTTTCTTAACAATGATTATGTGGATTGTGTGGGACCAGACGTGGTTTGTTTGATTATTGTTGGGTTGTTTCCCCCCCCCTCCCTGTTCTATTAACTTAGTGGCATCTAACAACAAGGTAATCCCTAAGACAACTCCCACTTCCCTCTTTCCCTGCAAACCAGGCATATTTTGGAGTTACCACCTCCTGTATTCCCTGAGACCCTAACTTCTGCAAGCACTGTAGACTACACAGCCCAAACTCCTTTCCCCTGTTCTGGGAGTTCAAAAATAAGCTCACAGATTCTTTAGAAACCCGATTGTTGCTGTTATGTGCCATCGCGTTGCCTATGACCCATAGTGACTCTATGTACAGCACCTCAAGCCTGAGTTAGTCTTACTAACTCTGACACACTTACCCCCATTGCTCCAGTTACTATATCAATCCATCTTATGAGAGTCTTCCTCTCCTGTGCTGTCCCTCCACACTTTCGAGCATGATGTCCTTCTCTAAAGATCAGTCCCTCTTGGCCACATGCCCAAAGTATGTGAGAAAGAGCTTCAAAATCCTAGCCTCTAAGGAGACACTGATTTCATTCTCTCCAAGCCAGACCTCTTTGTTTTCTTGGCAGTCCATGGTATGTTCAAGACTCTTCTCCAGCACCACAGCTCAAAGGCATTAATTCTTCTGTCATTCTTAG